GTCGGCGAGAGGTAAATAAGTCTCCTTGTTTCTGTTCTGAGCTCCCCACCAAGTTTGAAGAATAAACAGTAGATAAAACAGGACTGTCTCACGCTCTTCCCGACAGGTTGCCAGCACAACAGCCTCCTACGCTCCTCTCCTGCCCAGCCCACAACACCGCTGACCGGCCGCCAAGCTCCCAAAATTAACTTGCTGGACAGAGTCACAGCCTGATGGTCTCTGAAGGTCCGGGGAGCAGAGCATCACCTCAGGCTGCCTGCGGTTCTCCCTCCCCGGGCAGGCAGAGTTTCTCTCCCCAGCACTCCCAGGGATGCTCCCAGGGATGGGGCACACACCAAACCTCGCTCCCTGGACCTCGCCATCAAGCACGACTGCCCACCCAATGGTGGCCCCATCTCAGCCTGCAGAGGAGGGATGGGAAGGGAAGAGGATGATATTCGCATAAGCAAGGCATGGAGTAGATCCGCCTGACCACAGAGGATGACACCATAGAATCATAGAATAGAATCATAGAATGGTTTGGGTTGGAAGGCACCTCAAAGATCATCTAGTTCCAAACCCTCTGCCATGGGCAGGGACACCTCCCACCAGACCAGGTTGCTCCAAGCCCCATCCAGCCTGGCCTTGAACCCCTCCAGGGATGGGGCAGCCACAGCTTCTCTGGGCAACCTGTTCCAGTGTCTCACCACTCTCATAGTAAAAAATTTCTTCCTGAGATCTCATCTGCACCTTTTTTCTTTCAATTTAAAACCGTTTCCCCTTGTCCTATCATTACCCTTCCTGGCAAAGAGTCCCTCCCCAGCTCTTCTATAGGCACCCACCATGGGGAGGCACTGCTACCCATTGCTGTCAAGAGCCCCAGCACCCAGCCTGGCTCCAGGTGTTGGAACCTGCCCATGCTGCTCCTTCCCCTCCAGTGACTGCTACAGCCTTAGGAAAATCCCTGGGCTCTCCCTCTGGAGGAGCTGGGTAGCTAGAGCTGGGCAACAAGTTGGGTTCCCTTCCTAAATCCAGACTAGCATGGGATGGAAAGAGAGAAAAGAAGAAATTGTGGAGTTTTTTTAAAGAATGCCTCTATTGTTTATTATCTCCCTTGCTCCTGCCTTCCCTCCTTGGCTTTACTCACAACGTCCTATCCCCATACTGTTGGAGACTCTCATCATCTGTAATGTACTGGGCCTTGGAGCTTGAAATACATGAAACTGAACCCCAGGGAGGGGATAAGAAACTTGGCCAAGGTCAATTGAAAAGGGAGTTAGCTGGAATAACCACACAACGGCAGCTGCTTTGCTGTCTGCAGAGAAAAAAAAACAAAAATTAAAAAAAAAAAAAATCTCAAGAGCTACCTTGCTATTCACCATCTCCTCCTTCCTGGGCTCTTCTCCCCTTTTCTACTTCTTTTTCTTGTGACACCCAGCTCCGACTACCTGGACACTTGTTTTGTATTCACAAGCATAGTTACCTACGCATTTATAAATGCCAAGTACATCATTTGCAGAGATTTGGGCATTCGATTAATTTAGCTTTTGGTGGTTTGTTTTTTTTTTCCCCCCCTTCTTTTCTTCCAGCTGGCAAACGGTCAGAGAAAACATCATGAAACTTTTAAATGAATTCATTATTCAGCACAGTCCACTAGCTTTTCTCAATAGCTCTGACGATGCAAATTGTTCATAAATGGACTGTCACAAACGCTGGCAACATGACTCGGGTACGGGGTGCTGTGGAGACCACGCGCTGGTGCCTCTGCTTCATGGGTCAGAGCACTCCCATCCTCACCCAGAGGCAAACGCGGCGCGCTGAGCCTGTGACAGCCCTCAGCCTCACCACTCGGTGAGAATTAAAGCTCTCAAGCACCTGGGAACAGAGCAGGAATAGCTAAATCCCTCCTGCTCCTCATGTGCGTGGGTCCCATCTGCAAGATGTCCATCCCTGCTAGAGGGTGCCTTCACCAGCATTCCCCTCTGCCACCCCTCCACGTTTACATGGGGTCCTGTAAGAAGTGCTCCCTTTTGTGGGGAGACAGTCCCCCATCATCCCACGGCTTTGGACAAGCCAAGCAATGTCCCTCAGCCCTGTTTCCTGCTCCTGCCATGGTGGTTAACTGAGAACATCCATTCCACAAGGGGGCTGGGAAAATCAGGCTCACTGGAACTCAGCAAACCGGGTTTGCAACTCAAAATCTTCCACCAGCCACAGACAAATCACCTCTCTGCTCCTCAGTCTGTCCATCTGTCACCTGGGTTACACCAACATCACACCATGGAGACGCGACGGGGAGGACAGGGTGGAAGAGCTGCCCATTTTTCTCACCGCCGTGCCCATTGGAGACACTTGGCCACAGACTGCTCCGAAAGGCACAAAGCAGTGTCAGGAGGACAGAGTTTGCTGTGACTAGGCACGGAAAATGATCCATGTTGTTACAGCCACCTTGGGATGGAGTCGTTTGGAAGATCTAATTAAACTAAGCATTTGCCAAGCAAGGCTGGGGGGAAACCAGAGCAGTCAGAAGGCACAGCAAATTAACCTACAGAGGCTGAGGAGGCAGATGAGCTCTCAGCTGGGTCCAAAAACAGGCAAGGACATGGCAATACAGGCAAGGAGATGTGCACAGTCATGGCTGGAGAGGAGCAGAGCAGGAGTTGCATCACCAGTTCCACTTGCCACCAAGGCTGGTACCTGTCGGGCTGGCTGTATCAAAGCAAGCCTCTAAATACTGCATCCAGGAGGAACACAGGGAACCCTGATTCCAGGAGGCCACCTCCAAACCATGGAAACCAGAAAAAGAATGAACAGCTCAGGAGAGCTCAGCATCTCAGCGCAGGCAGAAGGCAGGGGAGATGGGGACCCAAAGACTTTCATCTCGGTTCCTGGGATCAGTCTCCAAGAAAGAGAGCTCAGAAGGGGCCCCAGAGCTGAGGAAAACCTCCCCAAAGACAGAAAACAAGCACCGGAATCACCAGGGCACGTGACAAAGCTGTGGTGGAAATCACATGCAACCGGGCAAGGAAGGCAGTAAAGCCAACTAATCAAGTCAAGCAAAGGAAAGAAGAGGAGCAAGGAAGAAAATCTTTTCATAGCTGGAAATCAGAAACTTCAGAGGGCAATAGCCTAGAGGAAGAAGGAAAAATTCGAACTATGTCTTTCAACCTTGCCATCATTGCAATGGACAGGTCTCTAATGAAGCCAGATAAAGGGGTCCAGGCATAAGAGCCATATCATGGGTCTAACATCTTTCATGTGACATCACCCATGATTGTACCTGCCAAGTACAGTCAAGTGCTGAGTTATGGGGAGAAATAAAGTCCATTCCTGCACTTTATACGTTATAAATATTCTATATTTCAGGGGTTAGACCACTGCACTTCACTTTGCCTTGCCACCTCAGTTACAATGGGTTCTGGAGGATGGGAAATGCACTGTAAAGGTAAAAGAGAAGGTCCAGGATGAAGGAGCTGGTACACAGCACCATGTGTCAGAGCTATGACACCCAAAATCCACACACCCTAGAGAGAGAAAGCGGTGATAGGTTATTAACCGTGAAGCAAAGGAGATGGGATTGGGCATGAAACCATAAAGCAAAGCAGGAATTCAATTTCAGGACTGTCAAACCCACTTGTGACTCCTTCCTCACCTGAGGAAGGATGCTGTTTGCAGAAAAGAGCCCAGCGAGGACAGACAACACGGTGACCAGGGCACAGCTGAAGTCCCACCCCCTGGCCAGCAACCCCAGTCTGACCAGTACCAATGACGGCAAGAGGTCCCTGGAGAAGCCAGGGTTTAACTGGCAAGGCTTGCAGCACGTCACAAACCTTCACTAGGTGGGCACGAAACACACCTGCAAAATACTTATCACTGGCACAGAGCAGAGCACGCCCAAGCTCAACACAGAGGAACCCATCAGCCAAGACCTGGAGGTAGACCCCTCAATGGCCACTAAATCTTCCTACAAGAGAACTTGCAGATCGGAGGCACACACTGTGTTTAAACACTGATTTCAAAACACTGCGGTGAAAAAGAAGCCTTCAGTCTATCCACTACAGCAAAACACAGCCAAGAACAAACCGACAAATGAAGGAATGGCCGCGAGCCCAGAGCGCTCCACCGTGCATCCAGAGGCGTACGGAAACCGTCCTTGAAAATCCAGTCTGCATCTGCACCATTAGGGCTTCTCTAATTAGGAAGCCTTTCTGGCACTTGCTGGGTCACTGGAGAAGCTCAAACAGCAGTGCTGGAGCAGACATCTGCAGAATAATAGCTGTCCCCAGCGGGCTGGGACAAAATACAGCTGAGCACCGAAACCCAGCTGGATAGGAAACCTCTTATCCCAGGCTCTGTCTAATCTTCTGCTGCTCCCTGAAGAACACCCCATGCTAGACCCTGAAAAGGCAGCATAGCTACTTACTTTTCTGAGCATCCCACTGCAAAAACCTACTTCTCAGAGAAGAGCTTTCACGCTAATTTCTCCCAGTAATCATTTGAGACCATAGCTGGTAGGTCCAGTCATAGAATCATAGAATGGTTTTGGTTGGAAGGAACCTTAAAGATCATCGAGTTCCAACCCCCTGCCATGGGCAGGGACACCTCCCACCAGAGCAGGTTGCTCCAAGCCCCATCCAGCCTGGCCTTGAACACCTCCAGGGATGGGGCAGCCACAGCTTCTCTGGGCAACCTCTTCCAGTGTCTCACCACCCTCACAGGAAAGGATTTCTTCCTGAGATGTCATCTAAATCTCCCCTCTTCCAGTTTAAAACCGTTCCCCTTCATCCTGCGGCTCCAGTCCTTGATCGAGAGTCCCTCCCCATCTCTCCTGCAGCCCCTTTAGGGACTGGAAGGGGCTCTAAGGTCTCCCTGGAGCCTTCTCTTCTCCAGGCTGAACAACCCCAGTCCCATTGAGCGCAAACACATTCAGCCTTTATTCATGAAAACCTCTATTCCACCTCGTTGGTTTTTTAAAAGGTTTTATAAATAAGAGTATTTTCAGCAAAGGTGGGAGCTCTCACCTCCGAATTGTCCTTAGCAGGGTCGACCTGGCCTCATTGTGGAAGGTGATGATGACGCTGGTGGGCGGCAGGTCCTGGCGATAGCGCAAAGTTGTACACCTGGGAGGGAGAAAGAGGAAAAGGCCACTCAGCAGCTGGAATTCAAAGGGGGAACTCCATTAATGCAGGCAGCAGAGTCCATCACAAGATGGTCCACCAGCCGCTATTTAGGAAAAAAAAATCAAAACCCAAGAGTTTTTCTGCATGAATCTTTTCTGAAGGAGCCCAGAAACTGCCAAGTCAGTCATGGAGGATTAAAGCAGCAAAAAAGAGCTTAAATGTCATTAATAGGACGGGATGAGAAAGGAGGCACCCAGACTGCAGCCCTCTTCTCTAACCATTGCTTCCCAGCCAGCTTACCCTCCTGGTGCCACCAGCCTCCCACGCCAATGGGCGATGGGAAGATAAAGGCCCTCCCTTTTTACATCCCAGAATTGTAGGGGTTGAAAGGGACCTTCAGAGATCATCTAGTCCAACCCCTCTGCCAGAGCAGGTTCACCCAGAGCAGGCTGGACAGGAATGCATCATGGGGAGTTTTGAACGTCTCCAGAGAAGACGACTCCACAGCCTGCCTGGACAGCCTCTTCCAGTGCTCTGTCACCCTCACAGTAAAGAAGGGCATTATATTAGTTAGGGCAATTCCACCTCCAGCAAAGATACTCCTTGCTGACGTTAGCACAACGGCATCAGAAATTAGTCCTTCACACCGCAGGTGAGGTGCTTGCAGAAGGCCAGCTGCAAGTCTTACCCTACCTCATGGCTTTCTGAGCTTCATGGGGCCTTCGGTATCATCTCAGAAGTACTGTTTTATTGTGATGAGGTGTTTTTTTCTTTCTTAAATTGAAGCAGTGGCCCGAGCACTCCTGCACTCACCCAGCTGGTGGCACCAGCAGAAGTTAAGAGCATTGTTGCAGCTCCAGCTCTGAGCTACCTCTCTCCCACCTCCCAAGACAGCAATTTCCACCAGCCAGCTGCAAGGTAAGCCAAGTCCCCTTTCTAAATTGATTGTTTCCTTATTCATTCTGCCTTAATGGCATAACCTGACTACAGGGAAGATTAGGATTTAACACTTTCCAAGCCAGCCTGCAGGAGCTGAAAATCCACAACTTCAACCACAGCCCCAGGAGGAAACATTGCAGACGCTGTAATGACTTTGACCTTTAGCTGATGAAATTTGTGGCTTTTATAGACCGACACCAACATATTCCTAGCTCAGGAAATCTGGATACACCTCTTACTTCTGTGCTGCTCTTTCCAGGTCCCTGTCAGCCCCTGTGATGGCCTTAAGAGGATGCCACACCAGTGGCAGGAGGGCAGCTGATGCCAAGCCTGAGGAGCTCCTCCTCACAGCCATCGTGCCCCTTCCTATTCACGAGGCACTTGCCCGCTCTTGTGTCACTGCCCAGGTGTTACCACTAACCATCCTCAAATCAGGAAAGAAAACTGAAAAACCACTCTTTCAGCAAACCACCAGTTTCCTCCTCCAAAGCTCTGGCCCATGGTATCTCCAAGGCGAAGCAAAAACGCATGGAAAAATTAAGGTGGGGATGGGGAGGAAAATGCAAACAACAGTAGCCAAATGCTGCTGGTTTATGCTGGCAGCACAGCATGTTGCACCTCGGAAATGCCAAAATGCTCGAGATGCTCTTTTTAATGAGGGTTTTTTTTTTCACCTTTTTTGGATTTTGCAATTTAAACTGCATTTCCCATTACTTATAAAGTGACATAAATGAAAGGAAAAAAGAGTGAGCAACAGGTGAAATAATGCCAAAGATAAGGAAAGAAAAAAAAACATTTGCAAGCTTATACTAAATTGGTTGCTGCCTTCTCTCATCAAAACCCTTCCCAAATCCTGCCTCTGCTTGACCAAAGCAGATTTCTCATTGCTACCCTGTTCTTTCAGCGTAGTCACCAACCCCCAGAATTCGTCATTCAACCAATTCTAATTCTAGGTCCATCCTCAAAGGACACTGAAGTTGCACGGTCCCTCCGCACGCGGGAGAAAATTCAGTGACATTGCCCCGTGCAACAACACCCTCATTCATCACAGTAACATCTCAGGGATGCTAAAAGCAGTTGGTTTCTGAATCACTAAACAGCACCGGGTGGTGCCCTGAGCTGCTCAGCTGTGTCACGGTGGCCCTTTCCATCACCAACTTCAGCTGAACTTTCCCAACTCCATAGGATGGGAAAGAAGCAGCTGCTGGTGATGCTGCTGCTGCTCAGAGCCTGGTTTTCCACGCTCAGGCTGGGCTCCTGCTCGCTTTGCAGAGCTGCAGAGACAGGCGACGATTGCTCTCCCTCTGCTATTTATACACCATTATCTCCCAACCCTTCCCAGATGCGTGTCCTCCCACCCATTGCCAACGCGACACCAAGGAAGGAGGGGGGGAGGGGGAGGGCTTGTGTGTAGCAAACAAGGGGAGCTATTTCTGGAAAAGAACGAAAGAGTGTGGAAAATACAAAGCCATCAATACTTTACTTATGTTATTATGACAGTTAAGAAGCTAATAAATAAAGCCTGGGCGGATGCGTGCTGTATCACCCACCGGTGGGAGTGCCGGGGACATTGCACGCTGGATGAGCCCACCAGGGCTGTGACGAAGGCTCCTCCTGCGTGACAACTACTTGATTTTTTTTAAAACTCCAGATGTCTAGACACCCAGATCAGCCTAATTCGACAACACGCACCAGGAAACCACTCAAACATCTCGTGGAGCACCTCCAAGGCTTGGTCACTGGCTCTGTGACTCACCCCTGGCTTGTTGCGTCCTAAAGACTGGACTGATGCTACAGAATGGGCAGGGACCTGGCAGCAATCCCAGCCTCACATCACCTCTGTGACCAGCACTGGGTCACTCCCCTCCCCAAAAATCAGCCCAAAAAGGGTCAGGCTGAGCTTCTGCATCTGCCAGGGCTCCTCCGGGATCCCTGTGTGTCCCCAACTCTGTCCTTGCCCAGGATTTTCCCCTTTCCTTCAGGAGTTCTCCCAAACTTTCCTCCAGTTGGTCCTTTCTGTTGTTTTTTTTTTATCCCTTTCTCCCCCAGTGTAACTGCAGCTAAACATCCCAGCTCCTCAGAAGGCAAATTTCAGTTTAAGTTGTTGACTACAAGTGTTCTTTTGGCACTTGCTTGGGTAATAAAAACCACAGCTTGGAAAAGCATTAAATCCAGCATGTCCAGAATTATTTTGTGTGACAATTACATCTGGGGTAATTTCAATTTAATACCTCACTGCAAGTGAAAATTGCAGCATGCAGCCCTAAAATTGCTGTAATAATGAAAATAAACCCGCTAAGAGCTGCCTGTGCTACCTCAGGCTGTCACTGGATAAACGTTTTGTGCTGCTTATGGTATTTTCATAGGTCACCCAATTGCCAACAAGAAAAAAAAAAAAAACAAACCCACAAAAACAACACCTAGAACATTTTCAGGAAAACAATAAAATTTGGAGGGTTGAAGAGTTGTTTTTTTTTCCAGATTGCTCACAAAAAAAAAAACAGGAAAAAAAAACAAGAAAGGGGAAAAAAAAAAACAACTTAAGTACATTACTTATTGTTGCAGTGTGTTGAAATTCACAGGCTGAAGTCATGTGAAGTTTTGTACTTTGAAACTTTAGTATGGACCAAGGTCCCTACTAAACTTTCCTAACTTTCATCTGATGGAAAGTTTAACTTTTCTGTTTTAAGGTCATTCCCCATTCGAATTTGAAATAATTTCAGAATCAGAAAGTTATGAATGGGGGCATTCTGGCTACATCTTAGGGATCGCCCTTGGAAAATCCCAGCCCTGCTTGCTGTACGTCCTTCAGGGCGGAAGGAGAGGAACATCTCATCTCCGTGTTCCCAACATGCCGTTAACACGTGGGTACCTTGGTCATACCATTGTGCCTAAGCCCTGTCTTTGAACCGAAGCAAAATTACAGGCGATTTCCATGAAAATACTCTAAAAATAGGGCCCCTGGGCATGATACGACTTAGATCTATATAGCAACGTATGCGGCGAATCGTATGGGAGCTAATGAGTTCATAGATCTTCCTGCTGGACAGGACCATGCGCTGTCTCGCCTGACCTCTGGGTAATAGAGTCTTTGGCATTTTTCCCAGTTATCCGTGCGTTTCTCAGTTCCCCGTGCACTAGGTCCAGTGACTTCAGTCTGACTGCAGAGTACCTTTCAAAAAAATCATTACTTCACGCCCTCCAGAGGTGGAAAATTCAAGAAGCACCGTTCATGTTACAGTCAATACATCAGTCTCATGCAACAGTATAAAAGGGATATCACAAAATGGTATTTGCATGAGTGAGCACACGGAGGGGTCAGTGGCCTTCCTCATGACCCTCATCACCACCCTCAGCTCTTCCTGGCCTTTCCCAAGCTATTCTTTCTGCACGTTGCCTCAAAATGTTTTGTCACCCAGCTTTGAGAGACCTTCCAATTCCTACTTCATCTTTCCAAGATATGCCAGCACCTCCTTCTATGGGTACATTTGCACCCCCTCAATTAGGACAATTCCTAGCAAGGCTGCCACCTGGAAGGAGGGTTGACCATGGTCTGCCTTGCTGCAGGTTTCCAGTACCCACTGCTTGTACATCCTGCAATTGGGGTCAGGTCTGGGACAAATACCTACCAAGAAAGTTCTGGGGTTTCTTCCATAACGCTAAGAGCTTTGATGCTGAGCACTCCACCAGGACACACCACAGTTTGAGCTTGAATGTCACTGCTCAGAGCACATACGTGACCTTTGTGCCACTATAGGAATCACAGAATCACAGAAGTTTCATGGTTGGAAGGGAACCTTGACATCATCAAGTCCAACCACAAAAAAAAAAAACTACCAAAAGAGCCCAAAAAAACCCACTTACCAAAAAAAACCCACAAACAGACACAAGCCAACAATCTCAGGCACTAGAGCATGCCCTGAAGAGCCATGTCTACACGATTCTTAAATACCCCCAGGGATGGTGACTCCACCACCTCCCTGGGCAGGCTGTTCCAGTGCCTGACCACCCTCTCAGTAAAGTAATTCTTCCTAATATCTAATCTAAACCTCGCCTGCCAC